CATTTCTCTCACGTCAGCGAGTGAACGTCCATTGACAAGCAACCTGGCCTCAGCCCTGAGCCTGAGCCTGAGCCTCTGCGGAGGAGACAGCTCATGAGTAGGTGTGGGTGCCAGTGTCACCAGCACACCACAAAGAGCGTGGACTCAGTACCGCTCAGTTCACTTTGAAGGAAAAACCACTCAGGACCATGACCTGGCCTCGAGGCTGGGGGAGCAGGAGGACCTATAGGGGACAAAGCAATCCTGTGCTCCCTAGCCACGTGAGAGGGGCCCAGGTCCCTGCCTGGCAGAGGGGCGGCCTCCTTCAAAAATAACACATGCAGCCCGGCCAGGCGTGGCTCAGCGGTTGAGCATCAACCTAGGATCCAGGCGATCGGGGTTCGATTCCCGGTCAGGGCACATGCCTGGGTTGTGGGCTCGATCAATGACTCATCATTGATGTTTCTATCTCTCTCTCTCCCCTCTCTGAAATCAATAAAGATTTTTTTTTTTTTAAATAATAAAAAAATAACACATCTACCCCCCTTCTCAAGATCGACCAGCGCACACGGCACCTATGCTTCTTTGAATCTCTATATACTGAGAACCTAAATCTGAAGTCTTTGGGGAAATTCTGGTTCCCATTAAACAGAAAGGCTCCTTTCCTAGTTTTTCAACTATCAGATCCATGTAAGGTGCTCACCTGGAGGAGAGCCGAGGATGGACAGTTCAGGTGACCGGCTGCACACAGGCACGCCTGGCGCTAGACACTTTCCATCCACCAGGACATAAAGAGCACCACAGACAAAGCGTGTGTCTCGTTCTGCATTATTTATTTCTTAAGTTAGAGTTTACATCGAGTCCAGCCAGAATATAAGGGGCACACAGCTGTGCCTATTGTTACGTCACGTAAAGAAAATAGATTTCCATCTTGCCTTTCACCTGCGTACGCCGTCCGGGAGGAAGTCCCTCAAGCAAAGCTGTCTGGATGTGAGAGGGTTTTAGAGGCAGCTTCCCCAAGAGGCTGTTCTTTTTTGAGTGACCCCTTGATACAAGGAGCACTTCCCAGCCCCAGGAGAGAAGCCCAGCCAGAGGACGGGGATCTCAAATCGTGCTTCAGAGAGACACAGACTTCCTGCCATTCATATGACACCAAACTGACCGTCCCCCTGGACAGTGAGTACCAGCCACAGTTGGCACTGAGTCCCCGCAGCGCAGGGCAGTGCCGAGGCCTCGTTTCTGGTTTCACTGTTCTTGGCAGCAAGCCCTCAGGTCACCAGCACCAAGCGTTGTAAGCATTAGCTAAAATTACCCTCCGTACGTGCGTGCGGCATGCTCTTGAGAGCGGTCTAGGCCTCCTTGGGGAAGTGAGAGCCACACACTCGAATCCACAATGACTCGACGTAGGTGCAGAAATGAGGTGCCTGCTGGACACTGCAGCAGCCCCGTCGGTCACCGCTCCTGTCCAGACTTCCTGCTCCATCTGAGGCTGGGGGACTGAAAAGGTGAGTGCCAACACCAAGCAGCACGCCGTGTAGGAGTCTATGCACATGATGGGACATGCAAGTCACAGAGTCTTCCAAATGCCTTTCCCCCATAATAAAATATCCTTAATAAAAACATAATTTAAAGGAAGTGTCAAAAGCCGAGTGTAAAATCAAAGCCGTAAACTTCCAAAGTCTGAAGGCTGTCTTGAAGAATCACCCTGCTTAAAAAAAAAAATTAGTAATTATATGGTGTATGTATGTTAAAGTAGGAAAGAAAGTCAGACTTTAGAGTCGGCTGCTGTGGTAAACTATGTCTGTTTCTCATTGAAGACCAGTAAGAGCCTAAAACAATTAAAAACTGTAATTGTATAAATGTATAATTATATATAAATGTATAATTCCTATAGAATCACACATTTTTAAGATCTTACATGAATATCAATATCTGCCCCAATACAAGCATTCTTTCAGAGCCTCCAGCCTCCTAACAGTGCCACTGACAGTGAGTTTTTCACTGAGGGAGGCAGTTAGAAATGCTATATAACTGACCAAATACCTACCCTTCACCATTAGTTTCCTTTCTCTTTGTGGCAATTTCTCAGACTACCAACAAGCCTCTAGCACACCACCAGGTGGAGAGCACTGATCAGTCCATCAGGGCTACTTGCTCCGGGGCGAGAGTAAGCACCCCCGCCCCCTCCCAGCATGAACCTGCTTCAGGTTATCACAGGCCAGGTGGCTAATCACACACGGCAGAGAGAACAGCCGGGGGCCACTCGACCAGATCTGCGAGGTACAGAGGCACATTGGTGGTGAGGGCAAGGTGTGCAGGAGCCAGGGAGGCCACCTGCCTGTGCCTTGGGCAAGAGCTCATCTTACCTGTGATGGGACACCCCCCAATATGGGACCACACCACACGCCTGGCTCTCCTTTCAGACCCCACAGATTCCTAACTGATACCCTAGCCCCCTCTGATACCCTCAGCAGCAGACTATATTTTTGCTCAGTTATCTTAGTAGAACTTTATACACTTCATGGTAGTCCCCACAGCTCCCCTACTTTATATACTTACAAGTCATGGCACTAAAAAGACAAACATTCAAAGTATTCAATAATTGTTTGGATTTTAAGGGATTTCCAGAATAAACAGCAAAGCATAAAAGGGTCACATGTATCAATTTTAAAGCACTTCCTGATGAAGGCGTAAGGCTCTGCAAAAATGACAAATACCTGTCACCTCCTTCAAGATCTCAAAGTTTACGTATACATGAAATGCCAAAGGGCTAAGAATCCAGTTCTCCAAGATTTGGTCAGATTGGCACCTGAATGTAGCAATCAGTAAGGAGACAACTGCCCAGTGACTGGTGTCCCCAGAGCAGGGTGGGTAGCTGCATGTACTTGGAGCAGAGCAGGGTGGTAACTGCATGTACTCGGAGGGATTTCACCCATTTGATGCCCACGCTGACTGTACCATTTTCATTCTCTGGCAGATAAAAATTTTAACACTACAGTCATGATATTCTTACAATTCTAGTGTTATCACTAATACAAAACCAAACAAAAAAACCTAAAGCTTAAAAATAGCACGTACATTACCATCAGTCATGATTTATTGATGGAAACTTCAATTCAGTGATCTCGGAGTCAGGGGAGCTGCTTCCGCTTCTGTCACTGTAGGTGTCCCTGTAGAATTCAGACAGTTTACTCATCATCTCCCACCAGAAACTTGCTTAACTTCCGTTTCTGTAGCTACCATGCCCATTAGAACACTTGTCTACACACAGCAAAATCAGACTCTTGACTGCCTTACATATTTCGCATAAAGCTGTAGAACTTCTTCTAGTCACAGAAGGTACACATTCAAATTATACTTCAGTCATGATACCCAACCGGCCAACTCAGGGTAACTAAACTGGTTCCGGGTTAAGGTGCACAGGGGCGTGAAACCACCCACTGTGGCTAACACCCTGGGAAAACCACAGTTCCCCTTGAATCATAGGGGTTCTACTTAGAAATGTAATCCTGGAACCCCGATGCTGCAAAGGGGAACCTGACCCCAATGCCGGGGAAGGTCAAGGGTGACACAGAAGCAGCCTGAGAAAACCAGGGAAGGAGAGGTCACCTGCATGTCCCCTGTGAGGAGCCCCAGCCAGGCTTCTGGGCTCCTGGACTCTGCTTATCACTAATGGGATGGTGGCTGCTGCCCTGAATCAGTGACCACCTGAAGGACTAGAGAAGCGGGATGTCACCTGGGCGAGAGCCTGCAGCCTTTCTGGAGGTAATGCGGGAGCCTCCCCACAGAGGCGAGGAGGAGCCCAAAGTACGGTGGGGATGGCTTGATAGGTCTGGACAGGAACTCAGGGTGGTACTGAACGCCGACAAAAAAGGGGTGATCTGGAACAGAAAAACACAAGAGAAAAAATCTTATTACATGTTTCCCATCTGCACAGATCCTGCAACTATTTGAAACAACTTCTTGATTGGAACCTGGGTAAAAGGAAGCACAAGGTGTGGGAGCTGATGCCCTCTCCCCCGCACACTGTCACCCTCCCGGTGAAGGGACCTCCTTTCCAGATTCCTGTCCCTGGCTCCCTGGACGTCTGAGGGATTGAGTCACGCAGGTCACATTAGATTAGAAGGGGACTCAAGTGCCAAGTCCACCCTCTCACTCTGAAGGAGGAGGTGAGGCCAGAGGTGAAGCGGCTGTGGGTAGAAGGCACAGGGCCCCAGGCACCTCCTTCACCAGGACCCCTCCCCTCATAAGACAGTGCTGGTCCTAATTCTTTTAGGTCAAGGGCAGCAACTAATGTTTTTATCTTTTCCCACATGCCAAGGAAATCTTACTAAGTTTTCCATTAAATACAACAGCCCGAGGAATCACCTTCCAACTCCACAATTTCCATTCTCTCTCCTCCAACATCCTGGCCAACAAACTTCAAGCCCTGCTCCTCCAGACACTTTTTCAAGACTGGATTCACCTGTTGGAGAATGAACGATAGTTTCTCGGCTTACTGTTCCCAAAGTAACAGAAAAGAGAAAAATTTTAAAGTCACAAAGCTCAAGTCCTCGCCTCAAATCTGTGGCGGTGCCTCTCTTCCAAGTAATCTGGATCTCCGTAGAGTTTCCCTGGCAACAAAAAAAAACCAACACCCATGCTGATGAAAAGGATTCTGATTTCACACACACACAAAGCCTACTAGCAACCACGCCGAGCTTCCCACTTCACTTTCTACCACCTACACAGCAGGCCTTTAGGAGATTATTTCGGTGACCCCCCTGCCTACCTCAGCCACCTGCTCTGGCAGCACAGTTTAGACTGAGTCTTGGGCTTGGGCTCTTTTCGACCACAAACTAAAACAGAAACACTTTCATCACCACCCTCCAACATGTGAACGTTAAGGTATGCAGCACTTTCCTGCTGGAAACTGCCTTGGAAAAACAATCAGGATGCACCAAACGTCCAAAGCCCTGATAGCGATGTTGTAAGAGCTAAACAGGTGACTGTCAGGGTCAGCACTGTGTGGTTAAATCACAGCTGTCAAGGCTCCTCAGCCCCTGGTGGCCGCCAGGTGAGATCCCCAAACCCACAGCACATTAGAGATGGGAGGATTGAAGGATCACCTACTCAGGTGACTCAAACTATGCTGCTGCCGAATCCCCAAACAGGCACAGAGCTGCCTCTGCTAATATGTAGACAGAATTTTCCCAGTGGGTAAGAAAATTAAATCTTATTTTTCTTAAGTATTTTCCTCCCCAAATTTTCCCTGAATCTTTACCATCTGCTAGTACAGTATGTTCAGAATTAAATCTAGTTAGGCTGAACCTTATGAAACTTCCGTTTTTGTGGGACAAAAATTTCCAACATTAGTATGGTTCAACCTCATAGTGTATGAAAGGAAGAGATTACAATGGATTTCACCTAACTGCCTCATTCCGGTGACTCATCCATACCCCAGGTCCCCTGGATCCCCGACTGCGCTGCTTGTGACCTTCCTAAGACCCATACTGCAGCTTTGCCTGTTTCAATGCATCCTAAAAGTGCATGACTGGGAAGGGAAAAGAAGAACTTCTAAAGCAAGAAAGAACCAAAACTGCCAGAGCCCAGCACCACCCCACAATGCGTGTCCTGGAGGTGCTGAGCCGGAGCCGGGGCCGGGGCTGGGCCAGTCGGGGGCAGCTCTTACTCATGACGGAATTCTTGGTCTGGAACAGGGTTCTCCTCTTGCCCAGCCGCATGGTTCCGCCCATCTGCCCAGGATTGTGCTCTGGCATGTCTATGACCTGGAGATGTTGAAAAGCAAACAGGCACTCCAATCTCTGCTGCCGTTACACAGACTGCCGGGCTGAATGAAATGAGCCTGAGAAGAGGCTCTAATTCCCCAGCCTTTCCATGCAGGAGACGCTTGTCACAGGGGAAAACGCCCCCCAGTATTGAAACCTTCACTGGGTGGGGGCTGAATCCTCCAGCCTGCCCTCAGGAGCGACAGAACCAGGCACAGCTGCGCCCTCCCTGGCGGTTCCTGCCCCCAGCACTGTGGGTCCCAAGTGCTGCTGGGCTGTAGCAGTTCTCACCAGGACTAACACAGCCCCAAGCACACCACACGGGACACGTTACCACACGCGCCCCTCCACCGGACCGAGGAGCTGCTCCGAGGAAAGGGATACTCATCTAGGGTTCACCAACCCGACAGCTCGGTGACTGTCTACGGAACGGAGCGGCGAGCCCCCCGCCCTGGCAGTGCTCTGCGCGCCATCTGACCTCTCTGTGCCTCCACCCCTACCACCTTCCCAAACCTTTGTCTTCCTCCTCCCGAGGTCTTAGTGTTAGCAAAGTTCAATTTCAGGTCAACAAACATAAACTGATGCTATTGAAGGGCCTTGAGGTCAAGAGCTTTGTCCATCTTGTTGAACAGTGTCCTCAGTGTCAAGAACAGGCCTGCCGCCCCCCGGCGGGGGATTCGAAGACAAGTAAGGCACTGTCCTCGCCCATGGGCCACATTCCTCTGGTGGGAGATATGACATGAGGTATGCCGGTCTCAAAGGGCTTTGGTTACCATTAAACAAATCAGTACTATACTCCAGAAGCGCTTTAATGATATGCCCATCTCCCAGGGTTGTTGGAAATTACAGTCGTATGTGACAGTTTATTTCTGTATTGTTATTCTCATATACAGATTTTTCCACACAAACAACTGTAAACCTACTTCTGCCACCCTGTACAAAGCAGTGAACACTGCCCACCTAGCATATAATCAGGGCCCACGAGTGTTTCATATCAGTGTTATTGTAAAGTGCTCCCAGGAGCTAAGGGGAGTGGGAATGGAGAATTACTATAATCAGGATCCCCCTTAGTTAGCTAGGGTGGTACCTGTCCTTAAAACTTTTTATGCCAAAATGGAAGAGTAGTGAGAAATCACACAATGAAAGAAAATTCTTCCTGTCTGCAGGTGAGAAAGTGTAGGACCCCACCCTTCTAAGCCCTGGTGAGATTCAAATACTGGACTCACCACAGGATGACTGGTATTGGGGTTAAACTCTGTAGAATTGGCATCTGAAAAATCAAAATATTTGTGTTATGAAAATAATTACAGGCAAATCTGATTATTGAAAAGTTTCATTCCTAAGCTCTAAATCACAATTTCCATCTTCAGTTTAGTCATTCAGTGATTAGAACAAAATCTAGGGACAACATTTTAAAGTTATAAAATACACACACAGACGCATTTTTTCCATTAAATTTGTAACTCCCTGGGAAGGGATCAAAGCTATACAAAATGGGGGCATGGGAACCAGTGACATAACCTAATAATCTTTATTTAGATAATACATCCTTATGATTGTCTGTATATTATAATCTCAACTTTTTTTCACTTTTCATTTCAAACTGTCTCTCTCCAAGATGGGCAAGTGCTACTCCTTTCATCCTCACCATCTTATACAATGCCCTACTCAACTGTCTCACTCAATAGCTAAATCAGAAATTAGCTGATTTCAAAACCCAAATAATCCTTCTTTACTGAATGTACCATCTAATCATAAGCAAAACCACTAAAGACTAAAGGGAAGCCCACCAAGCTCCTGACACTTTGTGTCTGCTCTTTCTACCTGAATACACTGGGCATCATCCCCCTGCTAGGCCTAAACCAGGACCAGTTCTCAGCGGAAGGAAAGCTTATCACCAGGTCGCTCATGAACCTGGGAGGCCAAGTGGCAGGAGGTGATGGCTGTGAAAGGGTCGACGGCGCCCAGGGGCCAGCTCTGGGGTAGTGGGTGGTAAGACAGTACTGCCAGCTCAGAAGCCAGAACTAAGGGCACGCTGCCTACAAAAGTGAGCCACCATCCCCACAGTGTTACTGTGAAGCAACCTCTCGGAAGAAATGTGAACTGAGCCAGCCTGTTAACAGTGAGCTGGCCACAGAAGAATCACGCATACTCTGTGAAGCCAGACCACTCGTACCTTCCTTTGGGGTTGCTTTATTTTTCTTAGAACTCGTACTGTCTTTCGGAAAATCTAGTATCTGTCAGCTGGGCTACAGAGAACCAAGGGGTTGTGGCAGACTCTTCCAACGGTAGAGTGGATACCATTATTACCCTTTTACAGAAGTAACAGAGGCCCAGAAAGGCTAAGGAATTTGCCTAGAATCACCATAATAAGTGATAAAGTCAGAATTTGAGCCCTGGCCTGAACAGCTCCACAGCCCAAGTTCATAAAAACTGCACAGCCTCACGCAGGCCAGAGTTTTCTCACTGGACACCAGCTCAGGGCCGGTGGCCACAGTGGCACCGTGTGAGGATCTCCAGAGCAGGAAATGCAGGGGCAGAGAGCTTGCTCAGCTGTGCTCCCTTCTTCCTGGGGTTTCGCTTGGAGGAGCCACACTTTCCCTCAATAGACGTCCCCATTAATGCACCCAAGAGGTACTGAGAGACCAGGCCAACCCCCAGTAACCCAGTAGGCACCAGGTTTCATGCCCTCCAGGAACATTTAAGCAAGAATTTAACAAGTTTTTAAGTAGACACTTACCTTGCCATCCCAGCACATTTCTTGAAAATTCAACCACTGCCAACTGCATACCTAGGCACACGCCTTGCAGGTGGGAGAGAAACACAAATGAGGCTCCGTGGAAAAGGCGGCATTCCCACATTTCCCACCAGCCTGCCTGGGGCTGTGTGTCCTGCATGTTCAAGCATCCCAACCACAAACTCTCCTAACTTCCCGCTATAAGCAAGCACCCCTGCTATGCTGTATCAGATTTCAAAACTGGATCTAAGTGTATGTAAAGACTCCAGGGTTTGGAAGTTATTCAATTCCAATATTCTACTGAGTACTTTAAAAAGTCAAGTTTTCCTACCCCTCATTAAGTTCCCATTTACAACTGGTCAAGTTGAAAATTACTAAAATTTACAGCACGAGGAAGCATCCAAATCACTTTGCTCAATTATAGTCAACTGGTGCTTCAAGTGAGGACAGAAAACAGTCTCTGTGTCTTGCCTAGAGCCACTGTTCAGTAAATAAACAAGATTTCCTAACTGACATTTCATTCTTTGAAAATTCCACATCTACATGCAACTCACAAGTTGAAACTTTTCATTTTAAAGGAGGGTTTGAATTTCTCCCAAAAAGAACCAAAAAGGCTTTGACTTGAGTTGCTATCTGGAGAGATGGCACCTATTTGGCTCCGGTGATCCTACCTGGCACCTTCCTGTGTTCCTTCCTACTTCTTACCCAAAAAAGGCTTCTTCTGTTTTCGAGCCCAGGAGATAGCTTGGATTTTTCCTTCCGTCCCTCGAACACCAAATCCCCCCGGAACCAGCACTCCACTGTACAAGAGAGCACACCACAGGCAACCCCCTTTTCACCAGTCCAGCTCGCAATAACCACCTAAGGAGCCATTTCCAAGGCACGGAAGCCGTGAAGTTACTCCACGTACTTTGCTACTGGACTATGTCTGTGATTTTAGGGCCACCAACAAGCTGAATGGAAACACGATGAACTTAGAGAACACATACAAAACCATGGACTTTTCTTAAAAAATACATAACAAAGTGCTCCTAACAAGGTAAAAAAAGATGGCATACAAAACTGTAATACTGTTACACGCAGTATTTGTCCCAGGCACAGTCTCTTTCCTAATTTTTAATCTGCATTAATACAAACACAATTTTTTTTACCCTTTGGCTTACTGTGCTCCCCCAGGTGGGAAGGGGGCCTTTCCCGGTCAGCTCAGAGTGCCACACTGACCGAGGGTCACAACCACAGCAGCATGGTGCCATAACATGCAATTCTCCTAGTGAACCAGAAATTCTTGCTAATGTTTTGAAATTATAAATAGCAGCTGCCGGAAACAAACTACTCATGAGACTCTACTAACAGATACTTATCAAATCTTCTGGATAAAAATCTTTAAGCCTCATCAACAGATCATAGAGCAAACAATACCAATAAAACTGAAACAAGTTCTCTTCAGCTCCAACTACACTGATGAGCTGCATTTTAAATCACCCAGTAGGCAGTCTTTTCAATAATTAAAAGACATTTAAGCAAGCAGATTTACTGCCAGCTCATGAAGCACAGCATTTTGCCCAATAAAACAACCACAAGGCCCCTGAAAACCGAAGGCAGAGCTCCTACTCACTGAGCGCTGCAGAGCTTCTGCCAGGCTTCGTGGTAGCGCACGGGCTCCTCCTGCAAGGTGCTTGGCTCCAAGTCTGTGGAATCAATGTACTGGGAGCGGGCGGGAGAAAAGCAGCAGGCTCGTGACTCCAGAACTGCGATCTTTCATAATTTCTAAACAATATCACCAATGCCCCATCTTTCTCAATTTTAAAGTGGTTTTAAAATGATACTCTTAATAGATTTAAACCTAGTAATAATTTAAAATAAACTTTAAAATCCTTCTATTTCAAAACACAAGCATTTCCTTCAAAATCATTTAACTCCCAAACCCATCCCTAGCCGCTTGAAGCTCCATCTGATTAGGACCCACTGAAGCAGCCTCTAAAGAGCTCTCTCGCTGTTCTATCCCCCCCACCGTCCACCTTCCACCCAAACTGCTTCTCATCTTTTCAAGTTTACTGAAGTATCATTTACATACAATAAAATACAAGCACCAGATTTTCCCTAGGCCTCAAGTGGACAAGGGGCCATTTTAAGTGTCACACGAAGGTGTGATCCCCTCACCTTGATCCAGATATAAAAAATTACTGTCATCCCCAAAAGTTCCCTTTGCCCCCCCCACCCCTGCAAACAACTTCCTATCTGCTTTCTATCACCACAGGTTTTGCATCTTCTAGAACTTCATATAACTGGAGCCATACAACAGGTAGCCTGTTGTATCTGGCTTCTTTTGTTCGGCATGTTTTTGAGATTCATCCATGTTACTGTGTATATCACAGTATGTTCCTTTTTATTGCTGAGCAGCTTTCCATCGCAGGAACAGACGACAACATGTCTATCCACTGACTTGTTCTGGACATTTGGGTTGTTTCCAGATTTTGGATATTATAAATAATTGGTCCATTTGTATAGAAATATTTTTTGTGGAAATGTTTTTGTTTTCGAGTAAATATCTGGGAGTGGAACTGCTGGGTCACATAGTAAGTGGACATTGAACTTGGCAGGAAACCGCCAGACTGTTTTCTAAAGTGGCGGCACCACTTTACATTCCCACCAGCAAGGATGAGTGCCACATCCTCAACAACACTGAGCCGCTCTGGCGGGTCTCTCACTGTGATTTCACTTGCATTTACTTCCTTGACAATTAAAGAAAGGTGTTGAGCATCCTTTCACAAATATCATGTCCATCTTTTATGAAAGTGTCTGTTCAAACCCTTTACCTAACACTGTTTAATTTAGATTGTTCATCTGCCTGTTTCTTCCTGCACGGACCTCCCCGAACATGGAGGCAAGATCCAGGCGGGGCCCAGCCAACGAGATTCATGACCAGGCTCTCATCGGCCTGTCTCCTGACATCCTCCAATTCCCACTTTTCCATCCATTGAGTTCCAACTATTTCCTATCTCCAGGCCCTTGGATATGTACTACCTTCTGTCGGGAATGCCCTTCCCTTCTTACCATCTTCCCAAACCCACCCAGGTGTTGCTCCTTGAGGAAGTCTACCTTCCTCATACATCTACAAAGGTGGGATCACCAGTCTTCTGTGCTTCTATCACACCTGAGAGACCTCCCTGACTTTCTAGACACCTGTCACCTCTATCATCTAACACATAATAGGCACAGACTACTTCCAAGTGGATAAAACAAATGAATGATCCGAAGAACTAGCAAAAATTAAGCCATCAGGGCAGTGTAGGGAGATCCCATAATTCTTAAAAATGTGTAATAGGTCATTCTACAGGAATCTGTTCACCAGCACAAAGCAAATGAAATAATCACACTGGAAACACTGGAGAAATAGGAGGCAAACCCCAATGTCAATGGTGAGGGAACCTCCTCCAGCTGGGGAGCTCCAATGCTGGGGGAAATGTATATAAGGGACAGGGGAAGTTTTCCAGGAGAGCTAGCACACATAGTACTTCCTCTGTGCCAGGCACAGTACCAAGCACTATATGAACTGAATTCTTATAATTACCCTATGAGGAAGATACAATAATTACCCCTTTTGAAAGGTGAGGAAACTAAGGCACAAAGAGGGTTAAGTAATTTGCCAGGGTCATACATCTTCTAAGCGATGGAGCCAGAATCTGAGCCCTGGCTGTGTGGCTCTGGAATCCATGCAACTCGACGCGCCGCTGCCTCAAGGAGACAGGCAGGGGCCATGCCCTGACACTCCACCCGCCCAGCTTCTGCCCACCACGTCACAGAGCAGAACACATAACTACTATTTACCGGGCATGTTCCAAGCACTGACTCAGCCACTGGACACATATTTCAGAGAAACCTCCAGCCCCACGTGGTAGATATTAACATTCCCACTTCACAGAGTACCAGCAATTGAGCAAAGTGCCTCTGGTCAGCCAGGGCTCCCCCATCCCCTTAGGGCAATTTTCCTTGGTCACTTGATATTGAGATCCAAGTATTCACTGCCCCTCAGTTTCTACTCTGACCATCTCTCTCCTTATTTCCTGAAAATGCTCTACTGTTCTCTCAAATCCAAGAGCCTGCCATGAATCTTTTTAGCCCTAAAAACAAAATGAGCTCCAAAAATAAACAGCAGAAATACAGCACCTATGGGACTACAGATAGCCTCCCTATTCAAGCCTTGGCTACACCTGCGCCAGCCTCCTCACCTTGATTTCCAACTTGTGGTTGATGGCCAGCGCGGAATGCTCCAGGGCCTTAATGACAGAGGCGTATGAGTCTGAGAACTTGGTGTACTTGCCCACAAGGGCAATAGAGCAGGTCTCCAGCAAGCGATCATATCTATCAATCAGAGGTCAAGAAACAACAAATTACTTAGGAGGTACATACAACCAGAGATCTAAATTCCTTTTTAAAAAGGGGAAGAAAAACAAGTCTGGGAAAAATGTACTGGGAACAGCTATTATCTAAGTTCTATATACCAAACAGTAAAGAGGAGACAATTTTCAGATCAACGTGGCAGGCTTTTTAAGAAAATAGGATTTTAGAAGCGGTTACGAAGAGGGCTTCAAAATCTCACACATACTGTTTTACAAAAAATTAAAATCCCAAAGGGCAAAAAAATTGACAGTTTGCAAGGATTAATGTAATGAAGGAAATAGTCAAATACATTATCGGACACCCACACAATAGTCCATATTCATGAAAAAGTCCCATTATAAAGTTTAATCAGTAACAGAGCAAAAACATTTATAATACTTTATGAAAAAAGATCCTAAAACTGTGTGCCATTTTTGTAGCTACATGAAGATACACATGTAAATGGACAAAGACTGAAGGGAAAATATCACAGCAGTGGAATGAGTGATTTCCCTTCCCAAATGCTTCCTAATATCGTCATTTCAGTTCTGCACCTATAATAAGACACACCCAGCGCTCTGAGCACTGCGTGAAGATGTCTGATGCGAAGTGTGAGCACCACACAGCTTCAGGAGGAAAGCAGAGTGGGGACAGTCCTGCAAGTGGTGAGTTCTGGCAGTGGTAGTACAAGACGACTGACATCCTTGCTGATCCTATTCTGGTGTAGGGTGAGTGGCACGTTCTCAAACACAGCTCAGGTGCTTGGGATGCCACCCAGGATTGCTCCAGTATGGCCAGACATCAGTGTGGGCGCAATGAGCTAGCCCATTGTCACTAGGATGCCTGTTGATTTTCTAGTCGACAGGAGACAAGGGTGTCAGTGTGTAATCTGAACTTACTTGTGACCTGGGCCAACTCTACCAAGGCTTCCTCATTCATGATGCAACTTCATGAAAGCTAAGAGCCTTTCTTAATGCCCCTTACCATTTGTAACCTTTTCTACCACAAGTTGATAGCACAAGTAAGAGTTAAATTCCCCGAGCTCCTACAAAAAAAGAGAAATAAGGCTAGAACTCCCAGCTCCTTATAACGAAGCAAACCTGTCCGCCATCTCTTTCCACTTCATCAGCATTCTTCGTGGCTGCCTCTCAATGGGAAGGTCAAGTCTTCGAAGAAAATAATCTACAACTCCCTGCTCCTCTAATAACAAGGGGACTCGGTAGATGGATGAGACATCGTGGACACAGATCACCTGTTTAAAAAGCAGCAAAGGTCATTTAATGAAAACAAACAAAAACTAACTGGGCTGACAGCCTCCTACTAGCTATATGACCTTGAGAAAATAACTAAATTTGAAAACAGGAAAAAAAAGGCAATTTTCTAGAAAGATATAAATTACCAAAGCCAATTAACTCAAGAACAATTTAAAAATAGTGGCTAATCTCTTATGAACATGGCTACAAAATTTTTTTATTTATTTATTTTTTTAAAATCACACACCAAACTACAAATGTAGTTTTGGAAAAAAAATAATCATGTCCAAGTAGGATTTGTCCCCAGAACAGTGGTTCTCAAATTTGGCTATGGAATCACTTGAGAGAGCTTTTAAAAATCCATAAGCCCGCTGCACCCCACACCATCTCTGTACTTTTTAAAGCTGAGTTTGAGAACCACATTAGGAAATTTAACAGTGGAATTCACTACATGAACAGATTACAGAAGAGGAAAAATACCTCAGTGGATTCAGGTTTAATAAAAGTTCAAAACCTATCCATAATAAAAATTCTTGGTCAATTAGGGAAAATATATAAAACTCAGAGCAAACATCATTTAGTTTGCTACTTAATTAATATTAATTCAAAAGTCAGGAACAAGGCAAAACTGACTACTNAATTTTAGGGAAAATATATAAAACTCAGAGCAAACATCATTTAGTTTGCTACTTAATTAATATTAATTCAAAAGTCAGGAACAAGGCAAAACTGACTACTATCACTACTTCTATTCCGTGATGTACTAGAGATATTAGCTATTACAGTTAGATAAGAAAAAATACATATGAATTGAAATATAAAGAAACAATTGTCACTAACTGTACATAATATTGTTTAATCCATTAAAAAACAAGAGAATTTACAGGTAAACAAACAGAAATAACAGAATTTTAGTAATGTTAGCTTGGCTTGAGATCAATGGGCAGAAGTCAGCAGGGTTTCCTATACACGGGTCATATCTAATCAGAAAATATAATTTTTAAAAATATGCCATTCATATAGTAAGTTATAAATACCTATAACCAAATCTAAAATCTTTACAAAAATAAACAAATCTTAAAAGCTCCTTTATAAAGAAAATTATATAATATTATTGAAGGATAGTCCTGTTAACAAATGGAGCTAGAACTGGATAAGTTACTACATATAAAAGTTAACTCACAATGGATCCTAGACCTAAACATAAACCTAAAATTGTAAAATATTTATAAGAAAACATAGAAGAAAATCTTTATGACCTTGGTTAAATAGAATGCTTAGATATGATACCAACAGTACAACCTATAAAGAAAAAAAATGGATAAAATGGAGCTCATCAAAATGTAAAAGCTTTTGTGCTCCAAAAGATACCATTAAGAAAATACAAAGATAAGCCACAGACTGGGAGAAAAAAATGTGCAAATCATATCTGATAGAAGACTTACATTCAGAATATATAAAGAACTCATAACAATAAGATAAGCACCACAATTTTAAAAACAGGCCTAAGATTTGAAATTCAAATTTAAATATAGAAATATAGAAATATTTGTGACATTTTTTAAGTGAATAATTTTAATGATCACCTATTCTATTACAAAATTGAATTACCTTCAATTGCTAGGATAGAAATATCTAAAATAACTGAAGACATGCAGAAACATTTTTCTCAATCTGTTGAGATCTTGCTTCCAGCTGTGTCCTCTGTTTTGGCTCAAATAAACCCATAAAAATTTCCTACAGGTTTGGACATTCTTATGTCAACAAACATAGCCACTTCAAAATGGAGCTGCCATCCCAGAGGAACTGCCTTGCATGTCTTACTCCTCAAATCTTTAGGATGTTTAAACTGAGCAAAATAACCTTTGGACTGGGCCAAACCAACATAGTGTTCCAAACAATTGTTTGCAAAGCTAACAGGAAAACACTCATTCTGACTACCGGACTGAAAATTAAAGGCATTGTTTAAAATTAGCACCACCATGCATAGCTAAAGAATAACTTAGCTTATTTGCAGCTATAGAAATTCTTTCTTGGACTTACTAACATCAACAGGAATTCCTTCCTTCTATTCATGTAATTATTCTCTTTTTCTTTCTCATAGAAATCACTTGCTTTCAAGCTCTAATTGGAACACTGTTTGGGTTTCTACCTGAATCGGTACTGCCCAAATAGCAAAAAAACAAATTAATAATAATTGAAGTGCATGATAAACAGGCTGTTGATAACAATGAAATTATTCTGATGTTACATGTATTTGTTATGAGTCCCTCTGGCAGGGCTCCCAGCTCCCAGCTCAGGAATCATACCCAGAAACACTGATCTTAGGCCCCAGGCTACCCTCACTCCCTGAAGCTTGAGCCATCGCAGAGATGGAGATGGCAGCTGCTCCGTAATGGTGAAAGGTTTCCCTCTTAATCTATTCCCTTCAATGCCAGGCACTGACTTTAATATTTTTATATTCAAGTCTATACTCCTGGTAGTTTTGTAAATGGATTTCTCTTATTTTAACCCTGCTGCTTCATTCTCCTCTCTCTAGGCCAGCTGGGTTCCCCTGCTCAGTCTCCTGATCCTCAAATAACCTAGTAGCAAAATAAAGCATCCATAACGCATCATAAAATCCTTCAAGTCCATAAAAACTCTCCTTCAGGCAAACCTGACCAAAGCCACAGTCTCAGTTTATCACCACTAGAATTTCCATACCATGCACCACATTTAGATATATTACAGTTCCAAAATTTTGAATTTCCTGTACCATAGGTAGCCTCTAATAGCACAGTTAACAAAAAAGACTAAAATATGTTTAGAGCCTACATCACCTTAGGCACCAGGAACATAAAGCTGAATAAGGTGAACCGTGCCCCCAGGAAGCTCAAAATCTAGAAGAGGAAGCCCACAGACGCACATAAAGGGGCAGTTTAACGGGCTCGCCACCAGTACCTGTGAGCCCAGAGAGGATCAGCCCGAGGTCCCCGGGTAAGGAGGTTTGGCAGGTAAAGCTGCTCAGACAGTACCGTGTCCTAGCTGGCCCCAAAGGAAGAAAATGAACAGGAGGACTGGGAGGCCAAGAGAGAGGGGGAGAGACCCATTCAGCACGGCTGCAGCAAACAGTACAAGAAGAGGGGAGAGAAGCAGGAGAGGTAAAGCACAGTGGGGAACCACGAGGTAATGGGGGCACAGAGCCAACAGGTTCAGTTCTTCTAGGGAACAGTCTAAGGTCTCAAATCCTGAACTAATAACAAGCCTTATGAAACTGGTTAAGAGATTTCAAAATAATCAGACGCAAAAAGTGATTCATGTGAAGAAGAATTTCTACTCACTTGTTCAGGCTCAACATGGCAGAACATGGATATTTTCTCCTTCACTGATGTGTCAAGAGGATTTGAGCACCTGCACACAACCTGGCAGTAAAGAAAGCAAGATGTTTAGACAGAGGGGATTACAAAGCTGCGCTTTTCTCCAGACTGACATTAAAACGAAATCACACTGTTAAGCTAACTCCTAGCACAAGGTATGTATACTATAATAATATTACCTGTTTGCAAAACTGAAATCCCAAAATCCCAAACTGGAAAAAGAGACGAGATTACTGAACTACAAGAGCCAAATGGGGTTTCCTCAACCAATGTTCTTGGTTAAGAGGGAAGAGAGAATAAACGACTGGCTAAGAGGAGAAATAAGACATGACCATGTACATGCCAGGCAGGTAAGGAAAACTTTGTAAACTACAGCCCCAGTTCAAAGAACTAGACCCTTTTCCCCGCCATCAACTAAAAGCATGCCAAGAAAATCAAGGGCTTGTGTGCCACAGAGGAGAGAGAATACCACACGATCATGCTGAAATCAGGTAATCAGGAAATCTTACCAGATCTGGGGAAAGCCCAAGGCCTCTGAGTTCCCGAACACTATTCTGGGTGGGTTTAGTCTTCTGTTCTCCTGTTGAACTTGGCTATTTTACAAAAGGGGAAAAAAGTTAATTTCTCTATGACAAAAATTTTCAAGTATGACTTTTCTCTGAACCTCTTTTTTAATGGGGAAATAGATTATTTGATCATTTACCTAATTTAGTTTTTATTTTTGTAAAAGTTACACATCACATATTTTAGAGTCAAATAGCTATACAAAATTTATCCTAAAGACCAGTGGTACCAAAGCCTAGAGACAGCCACTCTTTTACTCTTTAACTAGTCCTTCGAGTATGCTTTATTGCTACTTCTTGACGTTTAGTTTGAGGCATTTTTTATTGATTTCCCTGTTAGATACTACACACGCACCCATCCTGTGCCTGTAGCCCCCACCTCATGACCCCTCTTCAGTGTTTATGACTTTTATTGAAGGTAGTTAAGTACTCTCCACTGTTAAACCATGTGCCACTTTTCTTTTCTGGTTCAAATGTTTGTTTTTCTTGGTTGGTTTTTTGTTTTGTAGGTATACTTAGTTTTCTATCCACTAAATGATCTTTACTCTCCTCTCTCACTTAACAGATACATTTGTTGGGTATAGAATTCTAAGTTGAAAATCATTTTCCCAAATGTTTTCCACTGGATCTTTCCAGAAAGTATGATTATAATTTAAAATTCATAAAGAAGTTTTTATTTTCTGCCTTCTGCAGCTCAAATATTTAAAACAGAAAAGGAGTGAAAATCATCCTTTTCTCCCACCTCTCCATCCCCAGGAAGAAAAGTTTTCAAAGACTTACCTGAGGAACTAGACTGACGTGAATATTACAAAAGTTCTCTCTTTTGACCTTGAATTGGAACTGGCGGAAGGCCTCAATAAAGGGCATGCTTTCTATATCTCCCACTGTTCCACCGAGCTGGAGGAGCAAAGTTGTTTTAGAGGTTAAGCACTAAACCTTCCTCCTGTGGTTTAGTTTCCTGACAGCTATACTCTGTCATCTCAATTCCATGATCAGCAGCAGCGTAATATGGACTCTTTGGGCCCATATCATGTCAATTAACAGTAATTAGACATTTCTTTGTGCCGGAAGGTTACTTTTTTTGATGGGCTTACCATTCCCCAAGGTTATCATGGATCTTTCCACATCATTTTAAGAAAAAGGTCAGGTGAAAGATGTACTAGGAATTTTATTTGTAGGAGAGTCATAAAGCAACAAAACCTAAATCTTATCTGCTTACTTAGCCACAAATAACTTCTGTATTAAAAAACATCAGTTATAAACAAGCTGCTGGACTTCCGAGTCTCCTATTTTGCAGGAACACTGAGATCCAGCAGCCAAGATCAGCCAAGCAATACAGAAACTGAAACCAAAGGAGGCTCATTCATTCAGAGACAAAAATGTGCCACAGTCCATACCACATGAACATATAAATGCTGAAAAAGGAGAATTGCTCACACAAAGTATCACTTTTGACGGCAGAGGACCGTTACTGTGCCCTCACCTACCACATCACAGGAAGGTCAATGGCTTCGCTGTTGATTGCTAAGGAGGTCAATGTGTACACTTGGCCACCTACCCATGTATTATGCAGTTTAGAAAAGACTCATACACACCTCAATAACACACACTTGAGGTTCTAGGCCGTCTTCATCCACAGGTATTAATGCCTGTCTCATTACCCACTCCTGGATTGCATCTGTGATATGAGGGACAACTGAGGAGAAAAAAAGTATGTTACTCATACTTTTCCATCGGCATCAATGAGGCAGATACATGCAAGGTAACAACAAATGGCTTCACTCTCTGCCTTCAGAAAGGCAAAGGGGTCACAAAAATATTTTTGATACCACTTTTAAATGGCCTTAAAAAAAATCTTTGGGCTCTACTCCCTGCAGCCTCCTTTCCAGATTTCCAAGTTGTGGTTGGAAACCCTACAAGAGAGTAGAGTTGAGAGTGGCATCCTGACCCATATCAGAGCTCTTGCCCCCCAAGCCAGTCTACCCTGGCTGTACAACCACATGGCAGACCACATGGCCACCCTGCTGCTTACAGCTGAAGGTGGACATGTCACACCTGGGTGCTTTCCAGGAACAAGAGAAAGCAGCACCCTGTTGCATTATGTTTCCAGATTCCCAAAGGGGAGACAGTCCACTGCAGAGACAGTACCGTGCAGCAGAGTGGTTAGGGGCACAACATCTGGGCTCAGAATGTCTGGATTCACATCTCAGTTCCACCACTCATTGGGGTGGATCTTTGGGCAAATTACTTAACTATTCTTAAACTCAGTGTCCCTATCTATGGACTGGAGGTAACGGCTTCTACTTCATAAAGCTGTGGAAATTTTATGAGACAGCACTGGTAAAATGCTACGCAGAGTGCCTAGCATGGCAGAGCTCAATAAATGCCAGCTATTGCTACACACTTAAAACTCATAGTTGTCAGGCTCTGGTGGCAAATTCCTAAGGGACAGAGATTATTGTTTAACTTGCTATGTATAGAGCCAGCAGTGCTTCAAGCATAAGGATATTCATTATTTATTCCAAACCCAGCAGCCAAAGTGATCTTTTAAAAATGCAAATCAGAGTTTACCACTCCCTGAGTGTATGCTCTGAGCAAAAGCCAAACTCCAGGCTGTGGCCCAGGAGGCCCCATATGACCTAGCTGCAGTCCACCTCACCACCTCTCTGATCATCTCCCAGAGTCACTGTGCTCAGCCTTAACGGCTCCCCCACACTGCACATGCCATGTGTGCCCTCCTCCTTCCACTCCTCCCATGGCTGGCTCACACATCCTATCCTTGAGGCTTTCCCTGAGCACCTGTCCAACTGGCTCTCCCCACCACTTTCTCAATCTCTCTTCACTCCTCTTCTGTCACAGCTCCTATCAGACATCTCACTCCATCTGTTTGTACCCTCCACAGGAGCAATGGCCTCTGTGATCTTGTACATCAAGTATTCCCAGCACCAGGGAGGTCTGACTACATTGAGCATTCACAACATATTTGATGAATGAATGAATAAATAGTTAAATCCACTGAAGCCTAGAACAACAAACCGTATAATCAAGATCATTCTAATTCACCATTGATCCCTTTGTGTGTGTCAGGAACTCAAGAGAAACACTGTACTGACTTAGCTCTTTTAATCCCCCTAACATCCTGGAGAGGTGGATACTGTTATTATCTCATTTTACAGGAAAGGAAACCAAATCTCAGAGGGGTTAAGTAATCTATCCATGTTCATAAAGCTGGTGAGTGGCAGAGCTAAGGTATAAACATGACCAATTAGCCTAGAATCTGGTCTAGGGCTGCTCACTGTCAGCAGGACTTTCGGCTTTTGGTCCAGTAAAGTCTAAAGTCAAAAGCAGATTTATTCTCATAAGTCAGATGAAGGCCACTTTTCAGTAGCCCCCAAAATTTGGACTTATGCCATTACACCAGACCAGTGGTTTTCTAACCCCACCTTTTTCTAACTGGCACTTTTCTCAAATGAACGCTGTGCAAACCCCCCAAGAGAGCAAACAGATACAAGTGAAACCGGGCTGGTGATAACCAAGGAGGACCCAGAGACCCACTTCTCAGGCTCCCCTGGCCCATCTGCACTGACGACTAGCCTAAAACCAATGGACACAATGGATGTTCTTTTCCCCATCACTGCCTAGACACAGACACCACACACACCCACACACACAGTCTGGCTTACTGCCCTAAGCTAGTTGCCTTCATCACTTCGCACTCATCACTGTATAAAGACAGCTCTCTGGACTCAAATCACACCACCAAACTGAGAGCTTCAATGCTGTCCACAGAGCAGCGATGGCTTCTTCAAGCTATTTTTTTAGTCAACTGAAGGAATATTTCAATAACAATACAAAAAAGAAATTCAACTGGTTAAGATTTTTAAACTTTGAAAGTAAATCCAGTATTACCTTGGACGGTTTTCCCCAAGTAGTCACCTTTGCGTTCCTTGTTAATGACATACTGGTATATCTTTCCAGTGGTCAGATTATTGTCCTTGGTGAGGCGGATGTCAAGGAAACGCTCATAGTTACCCAGGTCAAGGTCAACTTCTCCACCATCATCCAGCACAAAAACCTCACCTGCAGTAAACAGTGAAAATGTTTAGAGTAAGTGAAAAATACACATGCCACAGCACAACTTGCGTGCCAAAATATAAACACTCAACTCAAACAAAGTCTGCATTACCTATCCATGAAGCAAAGAAATTTAATCTGGATAACTAAACAGGACACAAATGAAAAATCACCAACCATTCTCCAAAAGGTAACTTCACACTCCAGTCTGTCAACAAACTCAATCTGAATCAGAAAGAGTTCTAAAATAGCATGGAGTGGAAGGAAATTACAGCCCAAAGGGCTGCAGATATATGGGACTTTACAGTTAGTATGGCATCTGATTTTTTCAACAAACTCTACTACTTGAGCAGAGCAAGGTTTGAAATGTGATAAAAACATGATTTGATTCAAAGTTTAAACAAGACATATATATTAGTCATGTGGATTCTAAAGGCCAGCTTCTGGGTTACACTTTAATCCTAAACAAAGTTGCGAAACTGAAAGTTTAACATTCATTCCTTGAAACGTCATTCTAGAAATTTTGCCCAGAATGGGTCACAAATAGGAAAGGAAAAAATGTCTTATTTTCCCCCTCAGAGAGAACTCATCCTCTGCTCAGGAATTCTGTACGAAATATTGCTCCAGTATGTCCATGTTTTCCTGTTGCTATTTTGCACATAAAGATTTTTGCCCTGGTGAAACTCACCCTTATAGATTTTTTACCTCAACATTAGAAACGAGGAGTATGAAACCAGAATTAAAAAACTTAAGAAGTATGTTTTAACAGTACACCTATCCCCGATTTTAAGCAATTAATTTTAGATAATTCGGACACAGTCACGTATCACACAGTTGATGGGTACTCTCCTACCCTCCCTGAACAGTTTCAACTTTTTGCTCACCTCAAAAGATGCTTGGTTTATATTATCCTAACTCTGTTAACAAAACAGAAACTCCAGCTTACATATCACCCAATTCCAGCACTTATCTGTTACCTAAATCCCTACAAAGTAGTCCAAACTTTAGCCTGTTTGAACACCTCCATCAAAGGAACTCACAACTTCTAGAATCAGTTACCTCTGTCTTGGAAGGCGCTTGCTATTATAAAGATATTTCTCATATCAGTGAAAAGTCTATTTCCTTATCATCTTTCCACGCATCCTATTTCTAAAGCCTGGGGCCAGAAAAAATAAATATAACCCCTCTTCTAAAATATTTGAAGAAAAGTTATGTCACCAGATTACCTTTTTTCAATAGAAGTGACAAATTTTCACTCAGCCACCAAAAAGATAATTTCTATTACAGAAACCTCTAAAGTCTAATCACTACATTACATATTAAGATTTCTGCTTCCTCTCTGTCCAGGTGAGAAAAGCATCATTCTGCTACTCTAAGGACCTTTTTAGAAAGCAAGAAATGGGAGTTGTTATGCAAAATACACACAGTTTCCAAGGGCTGACTGACATGCTCTTCCATGCACTACACAATTATTTTTTAAAAAGAAAGAAAAATGAACTTTGCTTACCATGCTCATAAGGAGAGAATGTTCCTGCATCAATGTTAATATACGGGTCAATTTTAATTGAAGTTACATGTAAACCACATGACTTCAGGATTGTGCCCACACTGCTGGCAATGATTCCTTTTCCAATTCCTGATATAACACCACCAGTAACCAGAATGTACTTCATTTTACTTTTTGACCTGGGAGAAGGAAAAATTACAGATTAAATATATATCAACAAATCAAACTTTAGGGTTCAAGTACCAGCTCTGCCACTTACTAGCTATAACCTTCTTGGAGCCTTGGTTTCCCTGACTGTCACAACTTCAGAAAGTTGTTTTGTGGGCTTTTGGATCACTGAATGGCTTCAGTCAAATATGAGTTGCAAAACAACTGCTAACCAAATAATGTACCTTTTTTAAAAAAAAGCTTTGACAACAAACCTGAGAGTCAACCTTAAAAAAAAAAAAAAAATGCTTTAAGCTATTGATAGAACACTATGCCTCAAATGTTGGCTGACATCAGCACCAGATAATAGAATTTCACCAGGCAGGTACCTCATTATTTTCCCTACATGGGGAAAACAATTTCACCCTTGGATGAGCACTCTGATTTCCCATAAAAGAAATAGTGTCTTTGGCTAAACTACAATGTAGCACCAAGAACACAGCTCTCTAAGTTATAGAAGGCAGAATAAAAGAACTTCGATATTTAAAAGAAGTTGCGGTTAAACCTAAAAATCTTTTAATTAAAGGTGGCTCCCTTCTACAGTTTAATAACTTACTTCTTGTCATCAATCTCTCCCAGGTATGGCCTGAAGAGTTTCATATATTGGAGGAATAGGACAGCAGATAATAAACCAGTGTGAAGCACATAATGGGCAGAGGGCTCAAAGAGAGGGCAGATTAGATTAAATTCAAAAAGCCAGACAGTTGTGGCAGTGTCTGGAAGAAACAGACTTGACGAGAGATAAAAGGGATGGATAGATACAAGAACAGCAGAAGCAAGGGGTAGGTAAAAAAAACAGCACAGACAAGAAGTGGAGGAGACAGCAACAGGCTCACCAGGGAGAATTTATCACTGGCCCACAGCTTCAAAGGCCCAGAAACATCATTTGGTCAACAAACCTAAATATGATCAAAATGGAAAACACAATCACCAAGGAGAAAAAGAGAATGCTTGCTTTGGCAAGGTCAGGTCCCTCTCTGGGAATATTTTATGTGAAGCCAAATTATAATAAAAATAAGCTCAAAAAAGGAACAAGGAAGCAGTTCTGCTTAAAACATTCCCCTACTCAGCTCCTCCCCAAAGCAAGAACGAACACTTGGCAAGGAGGTAAGAATGCTCAGAATGTCTTCTCCCTGACAGGAAGACACTGTGACCGTGTCTATCCTCTGTTGCAGCATTTCCAAAAGCATGCTTCTTGGTTTCTACAAAATACACATGGGGTTCCCAAAAAGGGTTTTAGAGACAGATAGTTAAGAGAAATGCTGGAATGTCAGTTAAACAGTCAATTGATTTCTTCAATGCAAGACCTCTGGGAGCCTTTAATAAGGTAACATTCAGTGTGACCTCCAAAAAGGAGTATACAGTATGCAGTTTCCCCAAACTTGTTTGACCCCAAGTCCCTAACATTTGGGGGAAGCACTTCTCTGACTGTTCCCTTACAGTTGAACGGTGCCTCACTGACACACGAATATCAGACTTGGCTATATTTTAGATATGTCCTAGCCAGGCATATCCTGGAGACTATGCCTGGTCTTACTAAATTTTGGATATTCCTAGAAATTCCTCAGCCACTCTGAGTGGGTTACAGAGTGAGAAGACTCATCTCATCTATTTACATTTTAATTGCCCCAATTTTACTCTAAAAGGGTAACACCTCTCTTTAGGGGTGATTCTTGCAGTCTCCCACAGTGCCTGGCAATAAATATTCAATGTACTCAAAGACCAGATGGGGGCTGACAGGACTCCCACATTCCTGGACTACTCACTACTGTAAGTATGTATGTAGGTGCTACAGTGCCAGACACTCTGGGGACCACAATTAATCAGATTTGGGCCCATACCTCAAGCTGCTAGCAGTCCAGTTAGAGACAAAACATTTACAAAGAAATGAGTAATCCAGTGATGGTGAGAGGAAAGACCACATGTGAAGGGTATAAAGGGGGAAGGAGAGCAGAAAGCTTTCGGTGACATCAGGGCAAAGGACCACGAGGCATCTAGAAGATAAGAGACACCTAAGGGGAGAGGACCCAGTCTGCTCCTGCTCTGTTGACCTAGACTTGCAAGGGGCCTCGAAGGATGGAATGCAGGACTAAAGCATGGGAAGGGGAACAGAGTGAACGGGAAGGTGAAGGCTATCCACAGAAAACAGTGGTAGGGCCAAAACAAAACAGGGCGAAATAAGCTGGAAGTGTAGGCAAGGGGCCCAGTTATATGGAAACCTGAATGTCCAATATGAACTTTATTCTCAAGGTGATGGAGATATCGCAAGGTTTTCAAGCACAGAAGTAACAAAAATCAAGATGCATCTGAGGAATTCAACAAAGATGGGGGGGGGAAGCTTCTTCTTGTTGTTGTTGTTAAATGTTGTGAGGTCCAGATCCATCTCCACCACTTACGTACTGAGACCTGTCAAGTCACTGAGGCTGCCTGAAGCCCGAACCCTTACATCTGTAAAATGGGGGTGACGGTTTCCACATCGCTGGCTCGTCACAGGACCGCTGAGGATTCAGAATGATGAGTGTGGACGGAAATGCGCCACGCAGATGCGGGGGACTTAACTTCAACATGCAACATCTGCACCCCGGGCGGCCGGGAGGGAGGCGGCCGGCGACGGGCTGAAGGGGCCCCCTCGGGGAGGATGTCAGGCCCCGCGAGCTCCGAGGCCTCTTCCGCCCCGGGAGTCGGGGCGCGCCGCCGAGGCCAGGCCGCGGAACCCATCCC